CTATTATACAATGAGCATGTCTTATTTCAGTTTACTATCGATTAGCTTCACTATTAGCGGATAGTATTGTATATACATATTGTTTTATGTATTTATTAATAATATTTGGTTTAAGTTCTTTGTATGAAGAAATGTTGTTTGTTGTTTTATGTTCTTTGTTCTTTGTTTTTTTCTGGGGGGTTTTTTTGTTCTTTTCTTTTTAATATTTGATTTGATTTAATTTGGACAGGACTAGATTTCAAGTCTTCGCATTTTTATCCAAGCCTCAGCTTTGCCTTCAGTCCAGTCCTCTTAGTCGGATTCGAAATATCACTTCAGGTTGAGTAACATGTTATTAAATATTCAGTTTGAGTAACAGTAATTAAATATCCAGGTTGAGTAACGCGGTTATATTAAATATTCAGGTTGAGTCAAAGTAATTAAATACCCAGGTTGGGTAACAGTTATTCAATATCCAGGTTGAATAACAGCAATTAAATTCCCAGGTTGAATTAACAGTTATTTAATATTCAGGCTGAGTAACAGTTATTTAATGTTCAGGTTGAGTCACAGTTATTGAATATCCAAGTTGAGTAAAAGTTATTAAATATTCTGGTTGAGTAAAAATATTCTGGTTGCGTAAAATTTATTCTCATTTTAAAATATTATATGGTTTTGTTTATTTATTTAAAATAATTTGCCCTAAGGCAAGTACAACAAAAAGAAGACACGAAGTCCCATGCACCTGATTTACAAAGCAATAAAAATATTAGGCTCATTTTACTTCTTTATTTGTGTACAGCTAATGTTATTTTGTGATTTCCTGCAATTTGATTTGCTACGCGAGCGGGCAGCTTTTTACGATATTTAGGTTCCACTCCCGCCAATATACATAAATGATATGCCAGATATTATTTTAACAACTTTATTGGTTAATATTTATAAATATGTACAAATACATTTGAAAATAACCAATCGACAAAGGCGCAAACGGGACTGAAGTACCCATGTGAGGCGCCTTCCCGTTAAAATATAACGTTAAAATAACATAGGTCAACATAAGACTAAATAGTAAATTATACTGTATGTAAAGCCAATTCTCAATGGCAAGAACAGTCACGAGACAGTGTCCATGTGCACGGGAAGTCTATGTCAAAGGATGCATTGAATAAAGTCAGGTATGTTTGCTTGAGTAATTGTTTAAATGATGAGATGTTGGAAAAGCCATGCACAGGAGCTGATTTGCAAATAGTGTTCCAGAGTTTGACAATCCGGTTGTAAAAGGATGCCTGAAAAGCGTTTGTCTTACAACGTGGAGCTTTCATAACTAAAGGAAATATTATTACTAGGGTACTGCCATGGCCCATGTGTAGGTTATAAATATCAAGATTTTGTTGGCATCTCACTCGACTGAATATTAGTCGAAAATTTAGGAAATGTGGAAATTTATATACATTTATTAGACCTAACCAGGAACGGAAGCGAAAAATGCAACTTTAGGTCCCTGACAGGAATCGAACCAAATCAAAGAAAATAGGTTCAAGAATTGAGTCGTGCACATGGAAATAATGGACATAGAATTAATGCGTACTCCTATCTTTTCTCAGTAAAATTTTGTATTCACAAAATGGCGGATTTATAACTATAAGGTGATTTTGGCTAGTCCCAGACTCCAGCGGCAAGGAATTTCGCGCGGTTGCAGGGAGTGCGAATTGTTTTTTTCAACAAAAAATTATATCGCGACTTAAATGGAAAAAAAGTTTTGTAAAGGAGAAAAATCCAATATATACATAAATCGTCGTTTAAAAATATATTTTCAACGTTGCTTGAGCTTGAGGCAACGCTTTTGCCTTTTATTACGATTATTTTGGCGATTTACAGTTTATCGACAACTAAATATTTTTGTTTCAAGAACATGAAAACACTTCTTTAGATTGAAGAAAAACGAAAACCGACGAAGATTAAGAATGAACTATAATTTCGTAATTTCATAAAATATTAGCAATACAGTTACGTTCAGAGAATGCAAAAATGTTTTATGAGTAAATTATATTTACGCGAAACTACTTTGTTTCTACAAGGCTGCACGATTTTCACCGTTTTTGTAACTGCAGATTTGCTTTGAGCCTTTACTTAAAGAACTTAATATTTCAAAATCTATCCCCAAACTACAAATTAGAACATGATCACACCCACTCGGCCAATCAGAGCACAGTATTTCAGTGGTCTATATCCCATATAGTATATTAATTCGTCAAGTGGTGTGGGCTTTGAAGCACTCTTCTATATAGAGCATACTAATGAGCCTATTGTTTTCTTTTGTTTTGTAGCCTCATTAGTATGCTCTATATAGAGCGTACCAGTGACCACATAGAGCATACTAATGAGTTACATTTGAAGGCGTCAAAGACAAATTGTTTACTGCAAAAATTTTTATTTAATATAAAGCTCAAAAATACAGCTGTACCTTCACACAATCCTTACACAAATACAAACACACACAAATACATGCACACACACTCAACACTCCCATGCATGCACACACACGCCAGTCCGAGATATAACAAATGAGTATCGTTCAGTAACCAGTATAGTGCCCGACGACGAGAACAGTTCTTCGTCTGCTAACGTTAAAGGATCTGTCTGTCACATTTTTTCGAAAAACGCCTATGCCAATTACTGACATATTAATGAACCCTAAAACCGAATCAATCAAACGCTGAAAACCAAACAAAGACCAAACATTGTAGTTAAAATCCCTTCGGCAAAATAAACTAATGCCCAATCGAAAAAACCTACTTCATCATAATTAAAAAGGAACAATACTAATTATTTGTTAACAATACACCTAATTAAAACAGACATTCCTCGTGGGGATGATCATGTTCTAAGTCGGATAGACAATGATCACTTGTGTTCAGTGGGATTATAGACTCCCTCGAATTAGTTAAACTGCCACTCGGGCCTTCGGCCCTCGTGGCCGTCTAACTAATTCTCTGGAGTCTATATCCCACTGAACACACGTGATCATTGTCTATCCTATACTTAGACAGCAAGACAAGACGTTTTGACAATGAAAACGTAGTTTTAGCTTTGTTTATACTGTACTTTTTAGTTTACACTCCTACTCAAATTCAACATGGCGGATTTATATTAAGGACATTTTTGTTTTCAATCAGCCTTTCTCACGCCGCCATTTTTGGATGGCTTTTCAGTCGAAGTCTGCGAGATAAGTCTACATAACAGCAACTTTTTATCATTTTTTGGACGAATGATGGTAAATTTGCTTTGTAAATGGTTAGTTTATTTTGAAAAATTACTTTTCACATTGTTTTAATTGTCGTGAGAAAGGCTAGACACTGGTCACGTGACCAAGCAGGCACCCTAGGTCTAATATTTCTATGGTCCTGCACCTGGATTACCTTAGTCGATCCATTTTGAGCACTTTGCATTTACAATTGCTCTTTGCTTCCTTCTAATTAAATAGTTTTCAAACCACTCCAACAATACACCGCGAGAACTAAAGGCCCTACTAACCTTAACCAATAATACAGAATCAAACGCTTTCGCAAAATCCAAATAGATCGGACTAGTTTCGCCGGCCTGCCTTATCTAGTGTTGCACCAATTTCATGTAAAACGCGTAGTCACGCAAAATCGCCCTTCTTGAAAACTATATGCTGCGATTTCCTGAATAAAATCACCAATATGTTGAGTAAAGGAAAGACCAAAGCACTTTTCTTGTATTTTTGAAACAACTAGTAAGGGGGGAAATTTGACGATTAATTGAAAGCTCTTCTCTTTTCTATTTTCTTTTGTAAATGGGAGAGATTTTTGTTTCTTCCAAGCCGATAGATAAAAAACCATTTTGTAAAAAACAGTTTGAGCAACAGTCATTGTCCAAGGTGACGAATAGTCATGAAATATTAGGGTGGGGATTTCGTACGTGGCAAATTATTTGCCACGTACGTACGAAACAAAGCGTCGCCAAAGATTGAACATGTTCAAATGGTGGATCAAAAAGAGAGTATGAACCATGTTGATTATAACAAATTCGAAGATTTCATAGATTCATGTTCTTTATTTTCCTTATATATCTTCCTTTTCCCTTTCACTTTATCTTCCTTCTCTATAATTATCGTTCTTTTACCATTACGCTTATCTTTGATTTTCTGACCTTATCATCCTTTTCTTCCTTATCCTCCATGGTTCTTTATATCCTTATTTTCCATGTAGTCGTCTTTTTTATCATGCGACCTTATTCTCAGAGCCATTTCAAACAGCACTAACAAGATTCTTATGCTTACTTGTTTCTATTTTAACCATGTATCCCCCAATCATCGTTATTGCTCCTACTTTTATCTTCCTTACGGTCTTTATCCTCATTCGTTGCAGAACATATCGCCCCAACGCAATCAGCCACTTGCGGTTCTCGTTCCTACAATCCCAAGACTAAAATATGCTGTGTACGAAATTTGTATCCCATTAAGCATGGTTCGAGCTGTTGCGGATACAGAAATTACGACCCAAGTCAATATATTTGCTGCCAAGGTAACATCTTGGACATAGCCAACGGTTTTGCTTGTTGCGGTGCTGTAAACTATGATCCTTACAGAGCTGTTTGCTGCAATGGAAAGCTTCACACTAATATTCCTCCTAACTTTCAATGCTGTGCGTCTGAAGTTTATGATCCACTGAGCTACAAATGTTGCGGCAACAAGATCATATCCGCCTCCTATTATAGTTGTTGTGGAAACACACACTACTATCCAGGCTCACAAGTCTGTTGCAGCTACAAAGTGCTCAGCAAAAGCTCTGGCACTGCGTGCTGTGGAACACAAAACTATAATCCACTAACTGCAGTTTGTTGTAACGGCAATATCTTGGCAAAGTCGTCTGGTGATCAATGTTGTGGCTCTAAAAATTACAAAAGTTACTCTCGTGTCTGTTGCGCTGGGCAGATTCGATCAAAGTATCCAGGCGGCGGCTGCTGTGGTTCCAACGCATACAACACTAACACGCATGTATGTTGTGGTGGTAAAATCCATAGCAAGAATAGCGGATCTAATTGTTGTTCCAACCAAGTATATAACGCTGCGATATCAGTGTGTTGCTATGGTCGGATACTCTATAAATGGCGTGGAACTTCCTGCTGTAGATCACGCAACTATAACAGCAAGAGTCAGCTATGCTGCAACGGTAGAATTATTTCCAAGGTGCACGGTACTTCATGCTGTGGCTCAAAGGCTTATCGTCCAAACGTCAATGTTTGTTGTTATAACAAGATTTTTTCTGGTGGAAATGGAGTTGGATGTTGCGGAAGTTACAGTTACCAAACAAGCAAACAGGTTTGTTGTTCTGGCCGAGTTCTATCGAAGAGCAGTGGTACATCATGTTGTGGTTCCGTGAACTATCATTCATCTAGTAAAGTATGCTGCAGCAACGTCATATCATCAAGGTCGTCTGGTACAAGTTGTTGTGGTTCCCATAATTATAACCCTTCCAGATATATTTGCTGCAATGGTAACATACTGTCAAAATCAACAGGAACAACTTGCTGTGGGTCCATTAATTATAATCCATCACAATTTTTATGCTGTGGTTATCACGTGTATCCAAAATCATTTGGCTCTCACTGCTGTACCTCATGGGGACTATATGGCAGTCCATACTCTTACGGAGTTCCCATGAGTTCAAGTACCGCCGTCTGTTGTCAAGGAAAAGTTTATTCAAAGTCTCTCGGAACATCATGTTGTGGAGGTCAGAATTATGACTCAAGCACTCTCATCTGTTGTAACGGAAACCTTTATCCCAAATCAGGTCGCAATAATTGCTGTGGATCCCTTCCCTACTACAGTGGTTCTTATGTTTGCTGCAATGGAAACATCCTCAGTAAATCCAGCGGACGCAGGTCTTGTTGTGGAAGCTACAATTACAATCCAAGTTCCCAGCGGTGTTGCAGGGGCAAGTTGCAAAGTGCATCATCTGGTTATTATTGCTGTGGTTCCTCTTTATATCGGTCTTCTTCGCAGGTTTGCTGCAACAATAACGTCAGATCAAAATCGTATTCATCCTACACTCGCTGCTGTGGCGCAAATATCTATCACCTGAGTGTGCACATATGCTGCAGCGGTAATGTACGTTCAAGATCAAAAGGCACTTCATGTTGTGGAACAGTCAACTACAATTCCTCTACTCATGTCTGCTGTGGCTACAACTTGTTGTTGAAATCGAAAGGTTCCTCCTGCTGTGGATACCAGAATTACAACACAAGCAAGCAAAAATGTTGTTATCGCTCCTCAAACGGCGGATATTACCTCGTTCAAAGATCCCAGAACTGTTAATGATACGATAAGCACGATCAACGGACACGGATATTTGTCTTCCCTGAATAGTGTAGTTTTTTCTTAATTCCTTTTTGTAGCTCACGACTAGTGACAGTGATTTGGATTGTGTAATGTACGCATAATGATTTGGGGGTTAATTACTTTAAAGATATACGTAGAAATAGATTCAATATTGGGGAAAATTAAGATAATTGACAGTTCGAACAGGAATCATACATTCAATCGTAATCGTAGAACCCTATTGAATTTAAATTCGTAAGCTTATTTTATTTCAATTAATTTGGGATTTTTTTGTATTTCATTTCATTAAATTTCATATATCTTCATTTAATTTCATCTGCTTAATTTCAGTATTTATGATAGTTTGAAATCACTGGTGTTTCGTGCAAATTGATTGGTTCTTAGCAGTGCGATTTCAGCACGAACTGCACTACTGTAGTCTGGGGAGTGCGATTTCAAAAATGCTTGCATCAGCTTGAGTTGTAATCGCATTCTGCTTACAACTTTGCTTACAACCATTCAGATTTAATTAACAATGGTAATTGAACTGAGTGGGGTGCAATTTGGACAGAAATCAAACGCGTGATTACAAAAGTCGCACGAACGCGAAGCGAATATTCCAAAGCTATAAATAGATTTATGAACAGTAAAGATAAGACGAGTAAGTTTAATCGTATTTATAGGTTTTACGAGTGATTTGGTATAGTTTCGGAGCGGTTTTGCGCGTATAAACTTCAGAATTGCGATGGACGAATGTACCTTTACCTGCATTTGACCGATGATTTTGTTCTTAGAGGTCCTGCATGAAGGGGTAAAATGCAAACTGGGATTTGCTTATTTATTTGTCGGTGGGAAAATGGGATTTCATGCACTGGGACTGGGATTCATCAGCAAAAAAAACACAATAGAAAATGGGAATGGGATTAAGATTTGAGCAGGACAGCCACGGAGATGATGGGATTTGTGTTCTGGGACAATGGGATTTAGTCAAAGTTTGGACTGGGAAATGGGAATACGACCCCCCCCTCCCCCCCTTCAGGACCCTCTTCTTAGTTTGCCCATCATTTGTGAAAAATTTCTTGGTACGTAATTTTAGATTTGCCTAGCCAGTATTAAAATTTTACTTCAACCATTTATGATCAAATTTGATTTGGTCATTTGTATGATCACGTTTTTCTTAAAATTCATTGGCTGGGAACATTTTGCCGAACGGACAACTTGCCGAAAACAGAGATATCTTCTGAACTTTAATTTAAAGGTTCGCTTACAAGGTTTTGGTTTCTGTGATTAAAGTCATTGTCGATTTTGATGACAGAAACTTTGATAGCGAAGTATAGTTTCGTTTTATATTTCAGTCAAGTTTTTGACAAGTTTACGGAAATTTCGCAATATAAAGAATAACATCATTCAACATCATTCATGAATGCGATTTCCCGAAGAACTGTGAATGTATTGAATGATTCTCGAAGTGAAATTCGCTTACGACATTGTCTTTATATACGCTTGCTTGTTTACGATGTGACGTCAAAACACGTTCCGAACAAATGAGCCATCCGCTGCACAAACAAGCTACCCATAGTCAATATGATTATGTACTGCTAACGACACATTATGCACTGCTAATGACCAATTATGCATTGCTAATACCATATAATGTTTATTTTACATGATGGTTGAGAATTATAAAGTTGAGAAATGAGGCACAGTCCCAGACATTTTGACGAAAGAACATCTCTATTTTCGGCAAGTTGTCCTTTCGGCAAAACGTCCGTCGGCAAAATGTCCGTTCGGCAAAATGTCCGGGTACCAAACCTGATTGGTCGAAAAAAAGATGCGATTACAGTTCAAGCTGATGCAAACAATTTTGAAATCGCACTCCACAAAGTAACCTTGAGTACCGAATACGCATTGAAAAAGTTAAACATTCAAACTGACCAAAGGAAAATACCGGTAAGAGTTCTAAACGCGTTGGTCAAATTAGCGAAATTCTTCCACTCGTGCGAGCTTGTATTTTCAGCGGACATCTTACACAAATTGGTCAGTTATGTGCAATTAAACTGTAAAGCTTTCAAATTTTCACCGCAAGTCCGCTGGAAAATGCGAGCGGGATTCTGGGAGAGAATTTGCTGAATATGACCATCTTTTCCCCTTCACAGCCAATAAATTTTTTTTCAATTATCTAATAATTATCCTGGAAATTCCTATTAGAATTTTGCTTGATATTGTTTTACTCATCAGTGTTGCGGCAAATCAGTAAGGACCATTATGACCCATACCATAGAATAAGAAATGAATAGAAGGGCAACTGAATGTCGGATCCTTTGAAGTCGGTGTCCTCGCGCATGTCGTGTCGCGCATGCCGGAAATACGACGGCGGCCATTACTCTGGCCAGTAACTTGCAGCTGGAATCGATATAAAATATATGGAGTGAGAGCTGTGATTTGTTTTAAAATTGACATTTTGAGGATATTTGCTTATAAAATTAGATTTTAAAACCAAAACACCCAAGAGGAAGGTAAGTAGTTTGTATTTATTCATTTATTGGTCAAATAAAACCTTTAATCGAGGTATTTATCAGCTACAAATATTACTATTAAATATGGAGTTGACGAACATTATTATTTATATATACAGTACACGATACAGACTATGTTTATAGGTTTTAAACTAGTGAATCGTTGTTAATCTTTGCAACTATCATACATATCATATCTTTTTTTATTTTTCGGGTCGTCTTGGTCTTTAAAGCTAGTGTGAACACGTTTTTTTTTGTTTAGATGTTGCAGTAATATTATATAGATTTGAGCATTTTGAGGGTTTTCATCCAGAGCAGAGCTGCTTTTTATGCACGTGGTCACTTCCATGTGTTTATAGCTGTTTTTCGTGTACAAGTTTGATTGAATTTAAGGGACTGGTCATAAAGTGACTGCTAGGGTGGGCTGGAGGCAAATCACAAATTTTGCCAATAAGTTTG